TATATTATCCAATAGCCTATTCTGCAAAAAGAAAGCAGAGGTAAGTTATGAATTTTAGGTGTGAATGAGGCTAATATAGTTTATTGTTTGGGAATAGAGTTGAAAGCTTTGTTTATTCACTCTTTCCATTAGCATAAAATCATTCATCAAAGAGATGATTTCCTAGAAATCTGGCTGAAAAAAGAAGATATTAATCTATTTGAAGACAAAGGTTATTACTCTTTCAAGTAATCTGAATATTTCACTTAAAAATAATGTCTCAATACTTACTGGCAAAGAGAATGAATAAATTTTAAAAAGAAACAGACTTATCAAAAACTGGTGATAGAAAAAGGGTGACTTATAAAATTGTCAAAGAATGTTTTGACTTCCTGGATGCCGAAACTGTCATAGTGTATTTTTAGGCAAAAGGTTCTATGGTGTTGTGATCTCAGGGCAGTGACAGTGGCTTGAAATGGACATTGATCTTAGCTCAAGGTCATTGTATTTGAAATGTAAATGCAACTTTCTTTGATTAACATGTAAGATATTCATCTGAATACCTACAGAAAACATACATATAATGTAGACATGATATTTTGTAATATCTACTCAAATGTTTTAAATATATTATATATTCTTATATGGAGATGAATGCATCTCTGTATAATTTTTTTCTCCTTTGAAGCTTGATTACTGCAAAAGGAAAATGTATTGTCTAGAAGATACAAAGGCAGTCATCAATGTAGTTCTATATAAACATTACACATAGCTATATTCTGTTTATATTCCGTTTGTGGTATCAGAAAAAATTTTACTAAATTTTTTTGATGGAAGGCCAAACTCATGGTTGCCCTAAAGCCACCAAAGTAAAAGATCTTTTGAGACAACATATTGTCTTCCCCTCCTAGGAAATCTTACTTGCCTTTCCCTGGGAACTCTTTAAACTTGATTTTCTGTTAGTGAATCATGTTATTTCACATTTCTGTTATGAATTAAAGTTTAACATAAACCCTGCTGCTTTCTCTGTGGAGGAGAAATGAAATTCTAAACACGTTAAATATTATAGTTGTATAAGTGTTATTTTAAACATTGCTATGTATTTCTTCTAGTTAATATATACAATAATTAAGAGAACATAATTTATTACTGTAATAATCTTTTGTGATAATTTTACACTTTTGCAATGTGTATTTCTACAGTGCAAATCCATTTCATGAAGAAATGGCTGTTTGGTAATTGCTCTACTATTTATCGCATCAGTATATATTTTGTCTTTGAATCACATATATTATATATTGCCTTTGTACTATATTAATGCAACATTAGTTATTACTCTTAAAGTATCTTATTTTGTGTTATTTATTTAAATTAATTTAAAAGGTGCAATCCATGAACCATATGTAATTTAAAATAATTTTAAATGGATGTTTCAGAGAAAAAAATTGTCTTTTTTCCTTTTTTATTTTTTTAACACTTACCATGATTATTGCTTAGTAGAACATAGGAAACTATTGCCTTTTAGTTTTGGACAAAATCAGGTCCTATAATTGTAATTTAAAAGAAGAAACATGAAATATTTATGAAATACAATAAGATTGGATATTTGTCTTTTCTACCTTGTGGTGACTTCTCAATATGCATCTTTAGTAGATATTCTAAAGCAATTAAACATACCATTTTGAATTCTCATGTTGACTTTTTTTTACAATAATTTATAACAGTAGTTCTGTTGATAAAAAGTATTAGTTATACTTAGAAGTTATTACAGTGGAGTTTGGCAAAGATGTTGACAACAGTGATGATAGAGTGGGGGATATAACTTCCAATATTAACTAGACTTTTCATCTCTATCTTTTCCTTCCTTCCTTCCTTCCTTCCTTCCTTCCTTCCTTCTTCCCTCCCTGCCTTCCTTCCTCTCTCTCTCTCTCTTTCTTTCTTTCTTTTGCTGTATTTGTTGTTAGTTATGGGGCTTGAACTCAGAGCCTGGGCGCTGTCCCTGAATTATTTGGTTCAATTCTAGCTCTACCTCTTTGACTACAACTCTACTGCTTGTTTTTCATTGGTTAATCGGAGATGAGTCTCGTGAGGATGTTTTTTGCCCAGGCTGGCTTTGAACTATGATCCTCAGATCTCAGCCTCCTGGGTTAGGATTACAGGTGTGAGCCACTGGCACCCAGCAGTGTTTCTTTTCTTTTTATGCTGGTCCTAGCACTTGAACTCAGGGTCTGAACGCTGTCTCTGAGTTTTACGATTAAGGCTAGCACTTTACAATTTGGGCCACTGCTCCACTTTCAGCTTTTTGATGGTGAATTGGACATCGTAGTCTGAAGGACTTTTCCTACGTGGGCTAGCTTCAAACAGTGAGTAGCTAGGATTATAAGCATGAGCCACCCTCACCTGGCTCATCAGTATTATTTAAGAACTGCTTTAAGTCAATCCTATAAATTACGTGCCAGTCACCATTGAGTTAGAAAATGAAATCATGAATGCAATCCCAAAATACCAGTCTAAAAATTTAAAAGTTACAAGATAGTCTATCTTCTGCTTATCTACAAGCAAGTTTGTTTTACATAAATGGCTTTTTTTTTACAACTTTGAAACGTGAATATATTTTATTTTATTTTCCCAGTGAGTACACAATACACAATTTTTGACAATACTATTAACCAGTTTTATGCCATTTTTTTTACTCATCTAACAACATCAAATGAAACACATTAAAGATTTTGGACACTGGTGATTTAAACAAACTACAATTTTGTTTTAAAAAAATCCATCTATAAAACAAAGTATAAAAAGTCTACCCACGACCACAAAAAATCCCTTATCTTGCAACATTGAAAAGTCACAATTAATGCTTTAGAGAATATGAGATTAAAAATTCTAAATTTCATGTCACTTAAAATGTGTGGTGTTTCACTTATAGTACACATTATGAAGAAGTGAAGTAAAAGTAATTTCACCTCTAAGATAATGTGGAAAGACATGTTGCTTTGCACCAATTTCTGTCGTGTTATTCTATAAACACATATACAGCCGATGAACCAACAAACATTGGTGAATGTAATGATTTTGCATATCTTTAATACTGACACATGATCACTTTTAAGTGGAGCTAATTCACAATATAAAGCCCATTGGCATGGTTAGTGTTTTATTTGCAAGGGACAATCACATAAATTTATTGAATAGAATTTAGAAGGTGTTCCACCAAAGCATAAACTTTCAACTCAAATCCCATTGAAAATATATGTAAATGGCCAGAGATTTTTAACTATGACAAAGAACATGGTAAATCTATGTTGACATTAAAAGCAATAAACCTGCAATGGTTTTATTTCATTTTAGTTGTGTAATATGTTCCATGTTTCTTCTTATATATTCTCCCTTGAATTGGATTCAAATGCTGTAAAAGAATCTCATATATATATATATATATATATATATATATATATATGCCTATTCTGTCAGGTTTAAAAATCCCGTAGGAGGGATTTGGAAGAAGGCAGGGAGGCTCACTCTACCAAATACACTGGCTTTCCTGAGTTTGGGCCATTGATAGGATTATCCCCAGAGTCCCCAAGTGGACTGTGCATGATATGAATAAAGCTATGCTTGGGTCTAGAATGACTATAAACAGCACTTTCTATGACATTACATTCTTTTCACCCCAGATTTCCTTGCCTGTATGAGAAGTTGCAAAAGAGTGAGTTCAGAAAATGTCCAATTAGGAACTCCAGTGGCACAATCGGTTAGCGCGCGGTACTTATAAGAAAATGTCCAATTATTCACTTAATCATATACAAAATGTAAACTATGGTGCCACTCATATAGGTTGGTGTTCTTCCATTGACATTCTAACACACTTATGAGTAGCTCTTTCCATAACACAAACTGATCAATGTTTTGATTTTGTTTGGTAATGTTCTGAAATTTATATGGCCAAAGCAGGATAATATGGCCTGCTATCTATGTGGGGTGTCTACATATCAATGTGCTGGTTGTAAAAATTGAATGATCAATTTATATAAAACATAATTTAACAGGTAACATAGTCTTTTACTAAAAAGAACATTTTGAATCACCACAAAGTCTATATTGGCATAACACAACTATTCATTTTCATGTATTGAAGAAGACTGATGTTTTGCCCCATGTTATTCTACATGTCATCTTCATAGCGATACCTTTTGGAAGTCAATTTATTCATTATCTATAAATGTCAGTTATTAAAAGTCAAGGCTATATGTAATAAAAAGTTCTAAGCTAAATTCAGTAACTGAGGAAAATAGCAGGGTTATTTTTAAAACAAAGGAGGCACAGTGGGGAATTGCATAAATAAACATAAAACTAACAACTTGTAAATAATTATGCATTCATGTTTTGCAGAATCATTTCAGTTTTTGCAGTTCCTTTGTCCTAGTAAAATCAAACTGCATTAATGTATAGTCACTGATAGGAGGAAGTTCATAAAGGGCTTAGACCTTTGCCTCTAAGTGCTAGTCTTTAATAAAGAAATAAACTACATGGCATGAAAAGGTGCTGGAGCCCATAATAAACTTTACATTCCAGACTTGATGTACAGATATGGCCTCCTGAGATAAAGAGGATGAAACCGCTGAATTAAATCTTTCATTTGTTATAACAATACAATGTCATTCTGACTAAGCCAATAGCCATATGAACAGTTAGTCAAAGGGTCCCCTATTTTAAACCTAGTCCTGTTTACCACATTGAGTATTTCTCAAAATACCAATTACTGAACATGTGATAAGAAAACCTATTTTTAAAAATACAGGAAGAAGTAGAACTTGAAGTTGTATAAGTAGCACATGGGTAGATGTGGCATACGGAAATTTCAGGAAAGGTATCTTCTACATGGCTGATGATACATGTACAATAGTTGACACACATTTCAAGTCATGCTTCTTTTAAGCATACCTACATGATAGAACTTCAGGAACGTCTTACAGTCGTCAAAACAAATGAGGCAGGACACTGTTAATTAATGTCCACTTACAAGATTTGGTTTTATTTAAAAAGTGTATAAACATGCATTTTTCTCCTTTTTTTCTTTTCAATTTACTCAAGTCAAGATGGGTCAAACAGATTTGGGTAGCCAATTTCTGAGGATGTACCATAAAGTACTATTTGTCTTTAATAATCTACTTACTGTGAACTGAATATACTCTGAGCACTGCTTTTAAACATTGATGATTTTGCTATTCAGTGGCACCAACTTCACTTCTGAATCAAGGGGGCAATGCAGAACTGTACTTAGTCTGCATTGTTTTTAAAAGTGTTTGAATTTGTGTGATGCCATTCTATCATCCAGTGTGTACTGCACATGTATTAGAAAGATGAAATGAGACATTACAATAGAGTTCGTATTTGAAAGCAGCTCGAGAATGTCCTGATAATAAATTGCTTCTTTATCTATTTGCTAGATGCTCTAGAGTTCATTTTATTTGTTTCCTTGGGGGAACTTCATGTTATATTCTGACTTAATGAGTTGGAAAGATTAATTATGGTAATTCAGAAAATGCTCTTTTAAAAAATTGTAATATAAATACAGCTCTTGTGAAACACCTTAATTTCCATTTGCTTGTAATTGTCTGATGGGTCAATTACAATGACAGGTGAAGTTGCTTCTAAATAAAATTTAAATATCTTTTTTAAAAGCAAGTTTAGTACATCTTTTGCTACCTGCATATTTCAATGCATATTTAGTTGAAAGACTTAAATTTTCTTCTCTTGACCCCTGATTTTTATCAACTTTTAACCATCTTTCTGGTTTTCAACTTGACTCATTTCCTGGTGTTCCAAGCACACTTTGCCAACACTATCATTCCTTGGCATTTTCCTATTCTAAATCCCAACCAAAACCCATCTAACATGATTGGTTACACCAGCATCATCCAACCTAGGTTACAGTACAGAAACTCCCTTCACATTCAATCTTTTCTTCATGTCATGAGGAGTAGAGATTTGTGCTTATCACCAAATAAAATTGCAGTGCAAAATTTTAACAAAAAAGTTACACAATTAAAAGTTAATATATGGCACCACAGCCTATTAATTCACATATAGTACAAGAGACCAATAAGAACAGACAATAATATGAACAGAGCTAAAAAGAGTGAGCTTGCATAGCAATGCACAAAAGAAATTATATACAGAGGAAATCCTTTTCATCCTGGAGAGCGAGTTTTCTTTTCTTTCTTTTTGATATACTCCTGACAAGAAAGAGTTAAGGTGGGTGGTGTACTTAGGAGAAGAACACAAGTCAAATATCTGTGGGATATGTGTGGCTGTGTATCTTTACATTGCATTTACAGTTCTCTTAGTACATAAATAAAAGAAATTGTTCATTGCACTGTGTACTGTCATCACTTCCATGAGTTCAGACCTGATGGTCCTTCAGAGCAGCTTTGAATGTCTCCTCTCAGTTACTCTAAAAAGCATAAAATAGGAAAAATCAGAATTAGAGCTTATATTCACCAAATTCAAAGCAGTCAGATAGCAAATGAACATAAAGTCATCAGATAAATTTTGCATAATTTTACTTAAAGGTGACAGAGAAAGAAAAAGAAGCACATTCGAAGTCAGTGACTAGAGCTATTCCTTGTGTTCTTCATGAGTCTACAAATATTTCAGAACAAAAGTTAGAGAAAAAAATCTAAAAACACATGAATCAAACTAACAATTATACAATAATCTTAATACCAACCAGGCTAGTAATAGGCATTAATAATTCAGATTCATAAAGAATTCTATAATTTAAAGGATATTTTCTCTTTATGTCTTTTATTAAAATGCTCTGAGTGTCTGTGATATCAATCCTAGCTCTACCATTTAAAAAGAGGGAGCAGATTACTGTCTCACAGTATATAGTCAATGCATAGGTTGTGAACATTAGAACCTGGGGCTATACTCTCACCAGTGTTCTTAAGCTGGATACAAAGAAGCTGCCATATATATTAAGTGACCATGATGTAGCATAATTGTAGCATGACCATAATTATAGAGAATAAGTATATTCCAGGTGGAATTAAACTAAGATTCAATTTCTTTATTCTGATTTGTTTCACACTTCCCATCTTTCTTCATTACCTAATATTCCATATTTAGAAAATATATGTTATACTCAATACCAAGGTTAGGAATCAACTCAAAAATGAATTTATTAATATGATGTATCATTATGGAATGATTGTATATAAAATATGTCATTTGCAATCATCATATTGGAAAACAACTAAAATCAAAGATCAACTTTTCAAAGTTGACTCTCAAATTTTGAAAATAAATGAGTAACTAGAGCAAGAGGGATTTCTGCCAGAGTTTTTTTTAAAGCTACCAGAAAAGTAGGGGCTTTAGCTCACTGATCCAATATTTGTCTAGTATGTCCTAGGTCAAAATTCAATCCTAGCTAGAGACCAGTAAACCATGCCTGTAATTCTAGTTACTCAGGAGGCTGAGATCTGTGTATCAGGGTTAAATCCCAGCCAGGCCAGACAAATCTGAGATACTATTATCTCCAATTAACCAAAGGAAAGTCAGAGTGAAGGTATGGCCTAAGTGATAGACTACCAGCCTTGAGCAAAATGTGCTAACCCAGGCCCTGTGTTCAAGCCCCAGGACTAGTACACATTCACACAAATTTAACCTCACAACTGAAACAATCAAAAACAACACCACCTAGAGGCAAATACAGATGTGATGTGTTTTTTTACTGTGCTTTAGTTAAAGAGAGCAAAAGCAAGGAAATGACTAGATATTTAATCTAAGACTAAGACAAATGTAGGCTACCCATATGAAAACAATTCATGCAGCCTAAGTCAAGTTGTGGCAGCAAGGCAGTATTAGTCAATGACTATTCTAGAAAGCAGTTGTGTAAGTTAGATGCAAGTTTTCACAAAGGACTATTTGTTTTGTTGTCTCAGCAGAGCAAATGTTCCATTATTCCAAAAAAATACAATATTTCACTGTATTAACTGAATAGCCTTTCTGAATCAGTGATGTTCTGATAATCCTTTAAGTGACCTAACACACTTACATAATTCACCTGTAAACTGTCCTTGACTGTTTGAGCCCATATATCCTATGTCGAGAATGTCGCTGGCGTTGCGCTGGTGGCCACCCCTCAACACTTCAGGTTTTCGGGGTCCAGTGGAACCTTTAGAAGAAGATGTTCCAGATGAACTGTGGCCTCCTGGAGATGGGAAGCTAGGCTTGCTGTAGGGCACCAAAGCCTCCTCTAAAAAAGAAAAAAAAAAACAGAAAGGATTAAGTTAAACTGTAACATCATGGCAAAACACAAACTGAACTCTTTAAACATGAAGCTCAGAACAGACCCTTTTATTATTTCAATCTTCAGAAATATTAAAATTAGTACGTTTTATCAGACCTGGATATGAAAAGAATTTCCATGTGCAAGCAACATTTCATATAAGAAAATTTAATTAAAAGAGATGTTGGGGTAAGTATAGAACATATTAATTGCCATATTTAAGCTCATTATAAAAGAGAGATGGTATACAATGAACAATAGTTTGCTTAGCCCAAAACATATCTGAGAACCATTTCTGGAGTCCAGTGAGTCTTCAATTTAATTTTCCCATTAAGATAGAAAAACACACATACATGATTTTGTTTCAGTTTAATGATACAATATTTTCATGATCAATTTAGAGAAAGGACTACATATTAGTTACTTAAATAAACTTCTTAAATTCTGATTTTTTTTTCTTTTGGTCCTTTGTGGGTCCTGAACTCTGGGCCTGGGTGCTGTCCCTCAGCTCTTCAGCTCAAGGCTAGTACTCTACCACTAGATCCACAGCACCACTTCTGGCTTTTTCTGCTTATGTGGTGCTGAGGAATCAAACCCAGAGCCTCATGCATGCAAGGTATGCACTCTACTACTGAGCCACCTTCCCAGCCCAAATTTGCAATTTTTGAAAGATGGAAACATGCTATTTGAAAGGTGATGTGCTTCATTAAGATAAACATATTAATGGATATGGCTAATGTTCTATTTATATAATGCCTTGCCATCTCCACAAATGGCTCCTGACATATACTACAAATAATATTTAAAGACTTAATTCTTTCATTTTAATTCCCTTTTCTTCCCTGATTTCTTCCCTCCCTCTCTCCTTCCCTCCTCCCTTCCTTTGCTCCTCCTTTGCTTCTTTCCTTCATTTTGTGTTATATATCCCATCTCCTTCTTCAGTTACTCTCTATTTTATTCCTAGGTCTAAATTATTATTTAATAAACTGATCATAAAATAAAATTAAAAGCTAAGAGAATTGACTATTTCTCTCCTGTGATGATGGGGTTGACATATTTTTTCTTTTACAGCTTGCATAATTTAATTTTCCTAAATAGTTTACCAAATGCAAATATTGAAGTTGTCATCTTCTAGCCCCTGCAGAAATTAAATATTTCAAAACATTATACCACATTACTACAAAATGTAATTCTGGATGAAACAAAAAAGCATGGGGAGAGGACATATTTAGTATATCTAGATAACATTAAATCTGAATGACTAAGAAAAGCTTTGAAGATTGTATGTATCTATGCATGTGTGCATTGATTCTTATTAAATGCTAATGGGAAAAGTCCCCAAACCCCATTTCTCTAACAAGATCCCCCGCCTCTAGATAATATTTAAGCAGAAATTGTTAAAGTTATATGTGATATTTCTAAGAAGCTTGGTTGTTAGAAGAACAAAAACATTCTCTACCCAAGGGTTAACTATAAACTATATTTACTCATTTGAAGGAAGTTTGAGTCAAGTCAGTCTTTTCTATCCTGAGGATGTTGTGAATAGGTATTTATTTGCAACTAATCATTGTTTTAAATTGTTTCTTTTTTCCAGTCCTTGGTCTTGACCTTAGGGCCTGGGCGCTGTCCCAGCGAAGCCTCTTTGTACTCAAGGCTAGCACTTTACTACTTGAATCACAGCGCCACTTCTGGCTTTTTGTGAGTAGCTTACTGAAGATAGGAGTCTCATGGACTTTTCTGCCTGGGCTGGCTTCAAAATGCTCCTCAGATCTCAGCATCTTAAGTATCTGGGAGGACAGATGTAAGCCACCAGTGCCCAGCTTGCAACTGGTAATTTTAATGAATTCATCTATTAGATTGCAGTGAGCTCCCCTCGATCATGACAAGTTACTTCAGTCAACAAATTGGCTGAAGACAGGGATTAAAATGGTACAAGAGAAGAATGTAGTGGTCTTAAAATATGATTAGAATCTGAAGATAAAAGTTCAAGTTGTCTTCTGAGCATGGTAGATGAAGTCTGGAGGTCTCTTAAGCTCAAAGACCTTAACTTTAGGAACAATCTTTAATGGCATCATCCTTAAAATATGTGATAGTAAACCTAGCTGAAGAAATTCTCATTTAATTAATGATTTAAGGCAAATGTATTTCAGATGCCCTTAAACAATGTTATTTTTAAAATACCTGGTAGGGGGAAAAATGGTAACAGCCCACCCTTTCTTGGGACTGTGTAGAACACACCTGATCCAACACTTGGTTTGTGTGAGGCTTTCCGTGTCTCTTCTTGGCGTTCTGTGGAGTTTATCCATTCTTGGGTTTGTCGCTGCCACTCTAGGGAGGTTTTAGCTGGACAATCCAGTGAGCTCTTTGTGTCTTCTAAGTTGGATGCATGTTGTCTCTCTAGAGAACTTCCTTTCCTCTCTGTTGACTTTTCCACATTACCAGTGGGCTGGTTCGGGCCTATTTGTTGCCTTAAACCCTGACCTGGTGGGGGATCTGGTGGAGGTGGAAGATCTAAAAATTTTGAATAATATTTAGAATGAACTAAAATTTAATTTAAAAATACAGATTTTAGTTCAAGCTGAAAAATAGAAGAACCTTGCCCTCTTACAAATATCCCCATGCATAAGAAGTTTGTGCAAAATAAGTCAGTCATGGCTATCTAAAATGCAGTTTATTGATCTATCTACTGTCTTCTCATTTCATCATCACTGAAATAAAATTGACTGGTCTTATTCAACTACTAACCATGGAAATTGTTTTCAATTGCACACTGGGGCCGAACTTCAAGGTGAAAGGGAATCTTATTACAGTTTATATTCAATCCACTGCTTAATGTTGCCTTTTCAAAATAGAAATATTATAATAAAAAATAAAATCACTAGAAATCTGTGCTAGTAAAATTTCCTAGGAAGAAGCAAAGCTCTCTTGCCAATCTTCACAAGGAATATCACCCTTGGGAAATTAAGAGCTACATGCCATATCACATGCAACGAATGATTGCTTTTACCCTGTATGTGGCATATTTTGAAACAGTCAAAGGGTTAAGCTAATATTTAATAAATACAATTAACATTTTCCATGTCAACCAATTTTGGCTATTCGTTTCATGAGTTAGCTAATGAGTTACAACTAATACAGTATAATCTTCCAATGTAGTAATTTTAATAAGTGATATCTAATGTTCAGTGTGCACATTGAATATGCATTATGGCATTACACAGTAAGCAGTGTATTAGAAAAATCTGAAATGCAGTGGAACAGATAACATCTCAGGAATGTTTTTAAATAAATATCACAAGCAAAAAAATTAAAAGTTCAATTATCTAAATTTTTCATTTTTGTTCCTTACATCATCAACCTTATATTTTTAATTCAACAATTATGAAATAACATTTCCTTCAAAAATGAATTTTGGATTATCTCATTGAAGACTTGAAATTTCTGTATACTTTTTCACAAAAGTGCTGTTACAAATTCCTTTATTCATCCTCAGAGAAAGCTATTACATTATGTATTTATAAGACCTACTTATCATATATGGTATATATTTGTTTCATTAATAGAATTAATATACACAATTATTTCCCACACCATTGTGTTCTTGTTTCTAGTAATATTCTATTTACACTTTACATATTAAAAGGGAAAATTATAACATTTTTGTGCATTAAATAGCTTCCTTAATGAAAGGCAAAGCTGCTTATTATAAGAACTTTCTTAAAAGCTTCATACTTTCTTATGAGCAAAATGATAGCAACATGCAACTGATAATAGTGACCTTCTGAATGTGCCCTCTCAGGATGGGGTAGGGTTGTCCAATGCTGGAGCAGCATCCATAGTTAAGTATGTCTTCAGTTAAGATCATGAATTATTAATGATTGAAGAGAATGTGGAGCTGGGCACCCATGGCTCAATCCTGTAATGCTAGCTAGTCAGGAGGCTGAGATCTGAGGATCACAGTTCAAAGCCAGCCCGGGAAGGAAAGTCCATGAGACTCTTATCTCTGATAAACCACCAGAAAACCAGAAGTGGTGCTATGGCTCAAGGGGTAGAGCATTGGCCATGAGCTGAAGAGCTGAGGGACAACACCCAGGCGCAGAGCTCAAGCCCCATGACCAAGGGGAAAAAGAAGAGAACATGTGTCTGTCTGGAAGAATAAAGTTAGAACATTTCTCTCAAAATAAAGAGCTATCATAAGGAGATTATCTGTTTTTTTTATAATCCAATGAGTTTGTTATTTCCTTCATATTTGATACTGGCTTCCTTCCCTGTGTCTTATTATAAATGTAAAGTAATTATTTTATCTGAATTATTGGACCTAGATAACCAGTGAGGAAAAACTATTATATTTGCTTCCAAACTGACATATCTTGCCATTGATTTGTAGTCTTCATCAGAACAGCTTAATATCTAAAATGGCCCAAACAGCATCTGCTTATGCCAGCTAAATTCTGATGACTATTTAATTCGACTTGAATTTATACAGCTTCATAATTAAGTAATATCCTTGGAGAGTTTAACTTCTAAGAGGAAAGGACATTGCATGCACATTGAAATAAACAAATTGGAAAGAGAGATGGAATTACAAATGATTGTGGAAAAAAATAAAAGCAGGTAATCAAATACATTCACTTAAATTAAATTTGTTATTCAATTCCATGGTGATTTCATTTTGAGCAAGTCCATTCACCAAAGAGTATCTTATTAGCTTACTACTGAGGATTAACCTTATGGGACATATCCCATGAGATACATGATAGTATTACCCTACATATTTTAGAGAAGAATATAGAGCCATAAAGAACTCAAGCATCTCTAGCTTGGATCTTTCCTTCTGTGGACTCTGGTTATATAGAGCCAAATGTCTACTGGGTAGTTCCATTTGGGTGGTTAGAAAGACTCTCAAATTTTCCTCATATCAAAACTAAGCCCTAGATTATTCTGTGTAAAATATGCTTCTCCTACCACTGCTGTTTCTCTTCTCAGTTAGTAGCAATCCCATTCCACAAGTTCACCAAAACTATGACATAACCTTGAGGTTGCTTAATAACCTACATTACTCTCATTAGCCCTGACAGCTTCATCTCTAGAATACATATTTTCTTCCTGCTTCTACTAATTCCTTCATAAGAACCACCATTGTCAATTCTTTATACTATTCTATGATCTCCATTTTTATTCCTTTGCTCCTATTGGTGTATTGAAACACAAAAGCTAGAGGGAGCTTTCAACATAAATGAGATCACACCACTCCTGTATCTTAAATGCATACCATTGCACACATACATACACATCCAGAGGTTTCCTACTCAAAATACTGTCAAAGTCAGAGTCATCAAGATAGATTAAAAGTCCTATAACATTGACCCTTTTTGTTTGCCTGACATCATGTTTCATTTGTTTCTGTTTGTTCCAGTCCTTTTCATCAACTAAGTGGAGAATGTTTCTTGCTGCTCTCATTTCCTATAATGTTTTTCCTTGGGTATACGTTTTCTTCTAATGTTACCCTACTCTTTTTTCAAATGTTACCTTGCTAGTTAAGCTTTCCCTAAAACCGTTATTAAACATACATTCTCCTTACCCATATGCTTCTAAACTTCCTTTATGTCTGTTTTTAATCCAGGGCAATGGTAACTATTTTACATATGTATCTTGATATTTTCATCTCTTTTTCCTCCCACAATAAAAGCTGCAGAAGAATATCATCTACTTGGTTTCTATTTTGCTTGTTTTCCATAGTATGTGCTAAATATATATATATATATATAAGTTAATTAATACTTGGTTCCTCAAATTTCAGATTTAACATGTGGTATAGCGAAGGAAGAGTCCTTTCTCTGAATAAAATATTATGAACTAGGGCAAGAAAGAACAGGATGGAAGGAGGTGTTCTAAAGAAAACTCTGATGGGTAAGGACCTGAATTAATCTGTCTATATCTGCCTCTCTCTCTCTCTCTCTCTCTCTCTCTCTCTCTCTCTCTCTCACTCTGGTTTTATTGCTCTATTTATTCCATAGGTTTAAACTCAGGAATGCTTTCTAAGTAAGTGGTCTACCACTTGATCCACAACCACAGTTCTTTTTGCTTTAGCTTATTCGCCACCTAGGATTATGTAGAAACACACATCAGAGCTGCCTCTGATCATAATATTTCTCTTCCATCCTCTCAGAAGACATCAGCATTTACAGATTGTTAGGTCTGCCAGGGAGAACAGCCCCTCCTCACTTCCTATTCACCTGCCTGAAACCAGTAATCCCCAGTCAATCACCTAATCACCTGACTTTGAGTCAGCAAAAGATCCCAGGCTCTGAAGTTGCTTCCTCATTTGCTGAGGTCATTTTCTGAACCTCAGACAGACAGAAGTTCCCCAGGTTATGAGATCACTTCCATATCTGCTGTGGTCCCACCTCCCACCTTTCCGTATATAATCAGTCTCTACAGGAGTCCCCTACTCTTTTGCTATTTCCTCCCCCTCTGTCTCTGCACACCTGCATCTCAAGTAGGCCAACAGTTTGTTCTCTGCCAATAATACTTTTCTGCCTGAACAATGGGCACTGTTGAACCTTATACAAATATTCTTTGTTGAGAGGGGATCTCTCTACCTTTTTTCTTTTGCTGGCTTAAATGACAATTTTCTCCATCTCCTAAGTAGCTGGAATTATAGAATGCACCATCTCATTCAATCTGGGATCTACCTTCTTTTGCTCAACATTTTTCAGTGTATTGGCTACATAATAAGTTCTGACACCTTTTATACAAATGGATAGATTTACATGAAGCAATACCTGCTTAGGATAAGAAAAAAAAAGTACTTCCAAAGTGGAACTGTAGCTCAATGTGGTAGAGTGCTAGCCTTGAGTGAAAAGCTCAAGGATAGCATCCAGGCCCTGAGGGTTCAAGCCCCACAATTAACAAAAAAAAAAAAAAAAAGGAAAACAGAAATACTTCCTTAACTATGTATGAATATCGAATGCTCTTTGAGATAAAGGGTGAATTCTCACTGTGTACACTCTTCCTCATTTTTATTCCTGGAAACAGATTGTCTTCCTGCCTCAGAAGTTTAACAGCATCAATCAGAGCTCTACCAATGCAAAGTGAGAGGGTACTTGATCACTGGCTATTAGAACCTCCAATGATCATTTGTCTTCCCATTACTCAGAAACCACAAAGGTAAAATCTTGAAAATCATGCTATCCTCAACTAGAGTCTTAAATCCTTACTAGAGAACAAGCTGCCTCACCTTGAGAGATTATGACCCTGACAAAGTAAGTTTTATTATACAAAGATACTGAAGGTTAGAGATTGTTTGGTAAAGCATCTAGCAATAATTACCCTAATTAATACAATCATAAAACATTATTGTAAAATAATGTAAAAGTATTAGTGTGAAGTGGTCTAATGTAGTAAATGTTACTCAGTAACAATGTTCCTAAGAACATTTTATTTTACATGAAGATGCTACAAAATTAATCCCAATATGGAATAATGGCACTGCTGTAAAATGCTTTTCTTGAGAATATTTTGTGGAGTACTATACAAAATAACTGCCTTTATGTCATTATTAAAATATCTGTGGATCAAACACTTGGGAAGATATCTGATCTGAATTTTCTTCACCATATCACTACTTGTATAATGCATCTATTAATAACATAAAATATATAATCATTAAATGCTGGCATTTTTAAAAATCTAGGGTTCAATTTGATTTTTAGAAAGAGAAGCATATTAATATGCTATCAACTAGGGGGTGTATTTGCTTGATGTGGACATAGGGGAAAGACTTACAAAAAATATTACAATAAAAGAGTCCTTATTTTGTTAGTTTAGGTGTTATAGCCACCAATGCTAGTCATGGCTTTCAGATATTTCTGGAAAAAAAAACAAAAGAAATACATAGCTAATTGTTTTCTTGTCACTATATTAGAGCAGTAATAATAGTTAATTGTTATATCAGTATTTCTGTATCAGTGAAAGGCAATTCTATTTTTTAGTGATAATAAGTACACTGTAAATTGCCTTGTGTGCACAATTAATTTTCAGTACATCTAAGGAAGAAACATAGCGGGCAGAATAATTGTTCACCATGGGACATTCATTTATAGAAAATGAAAAATTGAACCCATAACCTTCATATTCTGTAAAAACACTTCCAAAAGGAAACAAAGTAAGTAGGAAACATCAGTAAACCTGAAAACTTTTAGAACAAACATGTTTAACTGCTGACCAAAGAAAAGAAAAGAAAGACAGAGATTTTCTTCTTTTCCAAGTAAGCTTTACTCTATTCTGCACTTCTAGACTTCTACATCTGATGGCTCAGGACAAACTCAGAGCTTTCCTAAGCTGGAATATGCATTACAGTTACACATAACTGAGTTTCACCCAAGAGCAACTAAATTGCCCACAACTGAGTATCACCTCAAAACACCTAAATCAGAATCTTCTGAATATATTTCAAGACACTAAATGATTCTAACATTCAGCTTGGCTATATTCATCAGCCTTTGGACATTTAACAGAACAATCAGGAAGAAGTTTATGTGCTTAAAGGAGATAAAATAGTCCTGAAAAGGTAGAAGAAATTTACAGTTGGGACTTATATAGGCATTGAAAAAATGTACATAATCTTGGACTAAAGTTTCAGGATAAGTATGTTATTCATACTTGAAATGGAAATAAGAGGATTATTTATTGTACTGTTTGTTGGATTTTTTCCCCTTTTTTTCTTTTGCTTATTCCCTTTTGTTGCTGTTTTAGATTTCTTTCTTTCTTTCTTTTTTTTTTTTTGTTGGTCATGGGGCTTGAACTTTGGGCCTGGACGCTGTCCCTCAGCTTTTCAGCTCAAGCTAGTACTCTACCACTTTAGCCACTTCCAGTTTTCTGGTGGTTTATTGGAGATTAATAAGAGTTTCACTCCTGCCCGGGCTGGCTTTAAACCATGATCTTCAGATCTCAACCTCTTCAGGAGGTAGGATTACAGGTGTGAGCCACTGGCTCCCGGCACTGTTTTTGATTTCTGTACCCTCTGTGTTGTACATAAGTTTATCTGACTTGGGGAGGGGAAGGGGAAGTACAGAAACTGCAGGACAAAGGGTGAACCAATTCAGCAGTGATACTCACTAGAGACTATGTTGTAAATGAACTATACAACTTGGAGGAAAGTAGAGTTGAGAGGGGAAAAACTGGAAGAAAATAAGGGAGGGGGTAACTTTGTTAAAAAAAGAAATGTACTCATTGCCTAACATATAACTGTAACTCCTCTGTATATTACATTCATAATTTTAAAAATTAAAAAATGTCATAAAATTAAGTTCAAAATATTAAAAATAAACTAGGTTTCATAGGATGAATGAAATATTCATAGTTGATCACAGACATTTTCAATATTTCCAGAAACCAACATTTTAAAAAAAATTTGAATAGGTCTTTTAAAAAATGTTATTGCAATGATGATGTACAGGGGGGTTACAGTTACGTAAGTAAGGAGTACATTTCATTTTGAACAGTGATAGCCTCTTTTTCATTTTCTCCAACTTCCCCTCCATGTTGTAAAGTTCATTTCGAACATAGTGTCTAGTGAGTATCACTGTTGCCTTGGTTCATACCCTTTGTCCCACTGTTTCTGTGATTTCTCCCATCCCTTCCCCAAATCAGATAAACTTATATAAAAGACAAAGGGTGCAGAAATAAAAAGTAGTGACAAGAGGGAATAAACCAAAGAGGAAAACAAAGAAAGAAAAAAGAAATACGTGCAAACAGTACACTAAAAACAAATAAAAAACCCAAAAAACAAAAACCTCTTGTTTCCATTTTTTGGAGTTCATTTAGATAAGAATTATTTTATATGGTCATATGCTCATAGCTATTGAGCTGTTTGTGATCCACTGCTAAGAATATCTTAGACATATTCTAGTTATTACAAATGAGGAAAACCATGGAGCTTGTTTCTTTGGGCCTGGCTTGCTTTGCTTGATATCATTTATCATTGTTTAAATATATACTCAAAGACTAGATGAAATAATTGACATAAGCCGGGCGCTGGTGGCTCATGCCTGTAATCCTAGCTACTCAGGAGGCTGAGATCATGGTTCAAAGCCAGCCCGGGCAGGAGAGACCATGAGACTCCTATCTCCAATAAACCACCAGAAAACCCGAAGTGGCGCTTTAGCTCAAGTGGTAGAGCGCTCGCCTTGAGCTGAGGAGCTGAGGGACAGAGCCCAGGCCCAGAGTTCAAGCCCCACGATGGACAAAAAAAAAAAAAAAAGAATTGACATAGATGAACAAACTATGGTTCAGAGAGAAAATCAGCCACTGCCCAAGTGTCAATAAAGAGGTACTGGAAATAAACCATCCCCCCACACACACATATACATATACACACACACATATATATGGTTTATATATAATTTTTTTCTAAAATTGTTCCCTAGATCTGTATTCTTCAACAATAGCACAATCGAGAGACCATATGCTCCCCCAAACCGAAAGTATTTCAATCTTATTTTAATAGGAAAAACACATTTAATGACCTTTTCTTACAGTACAAATGACTATACTCCTAAAATTCACACACTGAAATAAATAGCAACCCCTAATGTAATGGTACAGAATAAAAGAAAAGAAACCTACCATCTGTCATCCCTTCCCTTCGATGAGGCAATGCTGGCTGTTGGTCTGTCCGCCCTCCCTTGTGTTTTTTAGTGGGCCTAGGTCTCTGACTTTGATTCAGGGCTGCACTGGTGTTACTGTCCGTAGAAAATGGGCTGGTGGGTCGAGGCCTTTGAGAGGAGGTCAAAGCTTTTCCTAAGAAGAAAACAAAGGGAATGAGGTGTGAAGAAAATCATCATACGCTGATGTCTTGTATTTCTGTTCTTCCTAATACTAATTAGGGGAGCTGCCTAGAAATGCCATATGAAGTTACTAACTATTGGTGCCTCTCCATATTAATTGTTAAATGGTGCATCTCCATATTAATTAATTAATATGTCTTGCTGCATAAACCTTGGTCAATTTGTTTTAAGTTAAGAACACTTCACTCATGGAAACTCAAACAAACATGAAACAAATCCACAACCAAAAGCTCAGTACTCCTTGATTATATTGTTATTAATCTAGACAATCGTAGTGTTACTATCTTAGGTATTTAAAAATCAATGCAATATTTATTTCTCAAATACAATAAGACTATTTCAGAAATGAATTGCATAACATTTGATTTGTCTCATGAAATTTCACCAATGGAATTTTGAAAACTCTGAGCACAGAAAAAAGTCTGATAATAATTACATTTGAAATCTGATATGAAAGATCTGCTCAGATAAATTGACCTTACTACTTAATTTTCACATATGATTAATTCTACATCTTTTTTTTTGTCAGAAGCTCAGCAACATCAATGTAGAACAGTAGGTTAAAAATCAGTTTGTAAGTCCAAAATGGAAGAAGGATTATCTGGTCAGTATTATCTGTATCTGAACAGAATCCAAATTCTCATAGAAAAATTAAAACATGCTAGCTTTCTATAGAATATAAACACGCATTCATTCTAGGGCAAGATTATCTAATAAATTTCAACAACTTATTAGTGGAATAAAATGTTTATTATGGTAAGAGTGGCTGGTTTATGTGCATGTATTTAATCTCTTGTGCATATTTTCATTTCCTACCAATTTTTTCTATGTAGTTATATTTTCCTAAGTCAATGTGACATGATATTGCTTAATGTTTTATTAGCTATTAGCATACATGCAAGAAATGCACTTATGCCTTCTAATTTATTAGTTTCCTTGTACTTTCTCACTGCTCTGCTTATAGATGATGCCACAAAAAAGCACTCAGGCAACATACAGTTTCTGACTTATGCTTTATAAAGCAAGAAAATTCAAATAACAGTTATATTACAACATATTTTAGCTTGGATGCTATATAAAAATAAACCTCTGCAATGCTTGAGAATTTTTTTATTTTAAGATAGCTAATGCAAGAAATATAGATGTTATATTTCAAAGACAATTTCAAACACTTATTCAAAAACTGAGAGTTTAGCAAAGGGTCAAAATCATTACTCTTTATGATTTGAACATTATTCTAGTTTTTAAATGCATTCAGTATTTTATTATTTTGTTTTGTACGGAACTGTGGTTTCGTTTTTAGATTATTTACTCACAGGTGCATATAAGAATCACAATAGAAATATAACAACATGCACCATGCCAAAGCTATTGTTTTAGGAAAACAAGTGGTTTAGAAATCAGGGATTCATTGTTAGAGTTAATTTTGTGGTTCTGTATTGTGAAATGAGAAGCACATGAAGAAATGACATAATTCACCTTTTAACATTACTACTTATTACTCCAAGAAATAAAAAATTAAATTACTCTAAGGTATAATATACATGTATTCAGCATTTTATTCAACCTTGCAAATGCAGTAAGTGTATCTTTAATTAGCATCCTTTCAAACAAATAATAAATTACTGTATTAAAATATTAGCCAAACCATTAACCAGATCATCAGCCATTCGAACAGTTAGATCAACAGCCTTAGACCCCCTCGTCCCATGCTGAGGAATCTTTCCCAGAAAAAGCACTTGCAGAAAGAACTGGGTCAAAGAAAAGTAATGGAGATGAAAGCTGAACCATCTTAATCACTATTGATTGTATGAGGATTTAGCAAAGTATAAGTCACTGAAAATTTAATAGCAATCTCACTAGTGGCTTTCATGTAATACATGTATATATAAATATAAACATATATATATACACAAGTGGCTTTCATGTAATACATGTATATATAAATATAAATATCTATATACACAAGTGTATTAGCATATTCCAATCAACCTGTAAAGCCACACACAGAAAGGGATAGAAAGATAAAAGTTGGTAAGTGGTTTTAGCTGTGCCAAAGGTAGCATCAGTAGAGTTCTGATAACAGAACATCCAAACTACATTCATGCATATTAAAGAAATCCCTGAAGGTAGACTCACTGGGGAGAGAGAAGAGGAGGATTAAAAGTGAGTGTCCAGAGCACAAGATTCTCTCATGCAAAGAGTGTTTGCTTGGAGGCTACCAACCTGTTCTTGTAAGGCTGGTTCCATCCAGCCTAAAACCAGCCTTATCTGCTGCTGCCACCAGTGCTTGTGCAAAGCTGCCGCTGGCAAAGATGGAACCATCTGAGGAGCTACCTACGCTAGATCTATGACTAGAAAAGTTACGGTCCTCATCAGATGCAGAGCCCCATCCATTTACCATTGAACCTAAAAACAAATGTAGTTGTCTAGTAAGTTGTATATATTAGATATCTCATCTACTTGTACACACTGTACTCATGAGCAAGTAGGCTGCCTCAGCTCCTCACTTCTTTGAGCTGTTACCATGCATTCTTTTATCACATCATCATTACTCATAGAAGCATTCTAAGTGCAGAATGAAGCTCATCTCAATCTGTATCTGTGCCTAGCACATGGACAACCATTGTGAATGATTCAAGTCTTATATATCCTAAATTATTAGAAAACCATTTAGCCAAGAGAATTTCTATGTACATTTTAAGTTTCTACAATTATCAAAGAGCAATGTTTATTGATACAGATTATAGTGTACTTAGACTCAGCTGATGAAAAGTATACTATGAGAATCTTTCTATGTTAGACTTGTTAATCTGCAAGAATATTTGTTTTTTTTAATTGTGAAAATACTGTACAGAGGGGTTACAATTACATGGGCAAGATAATGAGTACATTTCTTATCAAGCATTGCAGCCTCCTCCTTTGTTTCCTCTTCCCAACCCTTCCCCTTATCTCCCTACCCCCCCACCCAATCCTCCCTGCCCTCTCCCAATCTGCAAGAATATTTCTATATTAGGTATGTAGTTACATACCATAAGAGAGCTGGGATTATTTCAAGATATTAGAATAACAAATTACTCATAAAGTAACAAAAAGTTATGAACAAAATTAATAAACAGTATTAAATAAAATATGAAGACAATATTCTATAAAATTGTCTGAGCTTCAATGATCCTTAAATATTCCTTGGTTTCCATTATTTTAAGAACTTCAGTTTGCTTTTCTTAACACCAATACTGATCTTTAGAAATTCATCTTTCTTCAGAGTATCACCAGCCCTAATGTAGATTTTTTTTCAGCAAAATTAGTATGGAAATGGAGGAAAATAATTGCAGTTCATTGTCACAATAAACTACCAAGTAATGATTATTCTTTCTTAGAAAATAAGCAAACAAGTATTGATATTAAATGTTCTAAATAAACCAAATATATATTTACATGAAAACCTGAAAATTAAAATGCTATAGATTATTTCTCCTTTTCTCCAATATATAAGCAATAACAGTGTGGTTAGTAGTGTCTCATCCTGAAGCACTTGTCAAGGTGCCAAGATACAGTAACACAGATTCCTGCACTTTCAGGGCATGGAAAATAGTAACTGGCAGAGTTAAAATGATTTGAGAAGTTAAAAGGGTATTAAGTGTAGCAGAGAAAGATAGGATTTTGGTTTTCCTTGCCAAAAGCACACAGATACACTTTTTACTTTCCAAACAAATTCCCCTGACACAGGCCACTTCAAGGAGGCTGAGATAGCCATAGCAACTGAACCTCCTGAGAGAGATCATTTCCAGTTAATAATCCCAAGTCAAGGACCAAGAGAAGAAATCATGTACTAGGCCTGCCAATATAATGCTACTGTAGATAAGAAGAAAAAAAAAATCAAAGTCATTCAGTGAGGGGACAGAAAGATAGAAGTCTCAAACTGAGAGTAGTGAGATATTTCAAAGCTCACTTCCAATTCCTCCCAGGTACTCTTATCTGTTGGTCTATATGTCTGTCCTCTCTCTCCAATTCAAATGATCTCTTTGTTCTTCACCTCCCGCTTCATCCCTAAACTCCTAACTGACTCCCTCTTAGTTCCTGTCTAAATGATCTTTCTGAAGCACTTCCCATCCATCCATCCTCAGTTTAAAGCCTTATCTAGCTATCCAATAGTTTACATACAAGGTTGGAATCAGGTTTTTTTTTCTTTTCTTCTTCTCTTTCTCTTTCTTACTTGTCAGTACTGGGGCTTGAACTCTGGGCCTGGGCACTGTTCCTGAACTCTTTTGTTCAAGGCTAGTGCTCTACCACTTGAGCCACAGCACCACATCTGGTTTTCTGGTGGTTAACTGGAGATAAGAGTCTCATGGACTTTCTTGGCCAAACTGGCTTTGAACTGTGATCCTCACATCTCAGCCTCCGAATAGCTAGGATTATAGGTATAAGCCACTGGTGCCCAGTAGAGTCAGGTTTCTGAAACCCTTCAGTAATCCTGAGATTACTGACTGAAATCCATTGTGTCAGACATACAGTACAGTCTCTGTGTGTACCACCTACCATTGTTTAAATTTCTGTCTGGCTACCAGTTTGTTCTACCAGTGTTTATTCTTTACTGCCTTTTATCAACTTCACTTTCAATTTTATGTTAGAGAGAATCAATCTTTCCTTTGTCATCTAAATATCATGCACACAATAGTGTTTTTCCCTATCCTGCTCTTTGTTGCATATTTTGGTTTTCTTTTGTAACAATAAAATTATGTGAAGTTGTATTTAAGAACTATTTCTTATGCCTTTTCATACTTTTATTTTCAGGTTCATTGTACAATAGTCACTACGTTGAATCAAATCCATTTAATATTTCCATTATTTACTGTAATTCTTTGTGTGATTTTATTTTGTGTATAATTTTCTTAAGAATGACCTTGTGTAATATATAAAAGAAATGTCCTTATAAATATTCCTAGAAGATTT